CTATCTATCTCACTATATGAGCACTATGTTCATGGATAAGAAAGTTTACCTTTCTGAGTGTAAATTCCTGGGGTGTTTTAAGGATTAAATGTAATAGGGGTGCCTGAGTGGCTGAGTCGGTTAAGCATCGACTCTTGGTTTTGGCTCATGTCATGATCTCACTGCTCATGACATCAAGCCCCGAATCTGGCTCTGCGCTGACAGTGCGTAGCCTGCTTGGGATTCTCTCTCCTTTTCTTTCTGCCCCTCTCCCACTTGTGTTCACGCTCTCTCTCAAAATAAACTTAAAAAAATGTATTTACACATATAAAGCAATTAGCACAATGCCTAGAACATGGTAAGCATTCAATAAATGTTAGCCATTGATTTTGGCAACATAACATGATTATAACATAATTTATTCAATCAGTAACCTCTTTGTTATTTAGATTTTTTCCGGTTTTTTGCTATGATAAGCTCCTAATAAACATCCTTGTGACTTAAATTTTTGTAAAATTTTCACACATTTATGATTCTTTCCTTAGCATAAATTCGTAGGCATAGGACAAAAAATTCTAAGCCTTTTGATTTAACAATTCCTTTCTTGGACCACATGGTTTTATGACTGACTTTCATTGTCCGTTTTGGGAAATCATCTTTTGCACAGCGGTCTGGAGACCTAACTCAGTTTTTCCCTAAATTACCATTCCTGGAAATACACACTATGCTAAAGGTCTGATAATGTTGGTGCCTGTTCACTAGGTGACTCTCCTCCCCTGCGAGCACATGTGGCCTTGGAGGAGAAGCAGAGCAGGACATGTCCCTGGGGCAAGGCTGGGTGAGCATGAGAGGTACCAAATCTGAAGCAAAGCCACTGGATTCTGCAAAGCAGTTTTGAACACTCAGGTAGACGGTAAACCACAACAACCGTGGCAGGAAAACAGCCTGCCACAAATAAAAGCCTAAAGCTCCAGCTGACACTCTGGTGTTCATGTCTTAATAAGAAATTGCTCAGCAGTTCAAACATCCTAGTTCAAAGCCCTCACCACACGTGGAGGAGCCTGAGAGGCCATCTTTCCGGGGTAACCCTCAGGCCACAGGTGACTCCCGGCCGACTTGTCAGCCCCCCTCCCTCTTCCTCCTCCCCCCGGGCACAGGGGGAAGTTGGCAAAGCAGAAAAAGGACAGGGCCTTATGCAGTGTTTCCTGCTGCAGCTGGAGGATTTAGGTTTCCAATTTTAATTCCGCTCTCCCTTTGGTCAGCACACAGAAAGAGGTTCATACAAATGCACCTGCAAACCAGGTCAGAAATAAAATGACTGCAGGCACGCTAAGGCACCCATATTTGACAGTTTCCTCTTGGAGCAAACACACAAACCTTTAGTCAGCTTCTTTTGACCACAATTAGAAAATATTACCAGTGTAGGTGACCACAAATGGTATTTAAAAACGTCTTGACAGTTTGGTGGGGGGCGGGGGGTGCAAAACAGAAATACTCCCCCCCACACACATGCATACATACATACACGCCAAGCTTTACTCCACCTCCCACACAAAACTACTTTTGATTGATACACTTTTTTAAAATAATGTTTGAAATAGTTCTAAAGTCATGAATTTGGGGGTGAGTGGATCTATCTGAAAAATCTATATTTAGCTTTGCAAAGGGTTTATGAAAACTTGTTTTTATTTTGATTGTTGTGGGTTCACGCCCCTGGAGTTTCGTTTTGACTTTTTGGGTTAAATGAGTTTCAAAATGAAACTCTTCCAGTTGTCAAAATTTCCCCCAAGTTTTAATTTAAAAACTGGAGGCTTTCTTATTCCATAGGTTCTGATTATTAGTCTTTCTCCAGAAGTCCTCTCCTCTCCTGGTAGCAAGCTGACCATATCCTTCATGCTGTGTGTTTAATGCCTTTCTCTTTCTTAATGCCTTGGGAAACAGCAACCAATTGCCAAGGGAAAGCCCTTGGTTGAAGTGTCAAAAGAGTTGAGCCCATATTCTTTCTTTCTTTCTTTTTTTTTTTTTTTGAAGATTTTGTTGTTAAGAAATCTCTACACCCAATGTTGGGTCAAACTTACAACCCCAAGATCAAGAGTCACATGTTCTACCTACCGACTGAGGTATCCCAGAGCCCCTTGAGCTCTTATTCTTGTCGTGAGTGGCAAAGCAAACTTTATCAGAGCCTTGCCTCAGTTTTCCCACTGGAGAAATGGAATGCAAATATCTCCTCTCTATTTTTAAGGGTGCTGTGACCAGAAAACCGGGTTGAACTTTAGTGTCAGTTAAGGAATAGTATTCCTCCTACGTGAAAGTTGTTGTCATAGGAAGGGATTCATCCACCAAATATTTTTACAAGCATTTGAGGCTTCAGGACTTGATATTGGAAGCTACAAAGTGTGAATTCTTGCTACTCCAGAGAGGTACAGCCACACACAGGTCCTCTGGTTGGCAATGAGAAGGATGAATTATTAAGCCAATCTAAAAAGATAATAAGGTGAATGAGCTAAACAACACTCTATACTTCCCTCTATTATCACAATTTATTAGGATTACTTTTTTCATGCCTGTTAAACATTATGTAAAATGTTTAATAAGCTACAACTATATTCAGCTAAATACAGCTATATACATTTCCTATTGCTGCTGTTATAAATTACCATACGCTGAGTGGCTTTAAGCACAATGAAATTTATTATCTTTCAGTGTGGAGGTCAGAAGTCCGAAATCAGTGTCACTAGGCTAAACTCAATGAGTCAGCAGGGCTGTGCTCCTCTTGGAGGCTCTGGGGGAGAATCAGTTTGCTGCCTTTTCAGCTTCTAAAAGTTGCCTAGGTTCCTTGGCTCCTGGTCCTGTATTTCTGTGACCTCTCATAAGGACCTTTCTGATTACAGTGGGCCCACCTAGATAATTCAGAATAATCTCCCTATCTTAAGATCCTTCACTTTGTTACTTCTGCCAAGTCCCTTCCTTCATTTAAGGTAACAACATACTTGCAGGGGTCAGGATGAAGGCATCTTTGGTGGGCCCATATAAAAGCAGGAACCCAACCTCCCCTGCTCTGTGTTGATCCCATTACCTAGCACACACCTACGTCACAGCAGGCACTTACTATATACATAGAATGAACAGAAGAAATAGATTATGCCTGCTGTTGGCAGTTCAGTCCATCAGATGCTTATTGAACACCTACTACGAGCCAGACCCAAGGGGCACAGAGCTGTCCTGGAGCGCACTGCCTGACAGGCAGACCGTCAAGGAGGAAACTGAAAGGAGCAACAGCAAGCCTGGTTGTCCAGAGTCTGAAAGAGCAAGGGCACCTTAATAATTCTGTCTGTATCCTTGCAGTTTCCTCCTTTAGCTATTGGCTGCTGTCTTCTTGAAGAATTCTTTGAACACATTCCCCTTGGCAAACGTGATTAATTATATTCACATTTATTTCTTTATTTCTAGTCCACCCCCCCCCCACCTCTGGGTACTCTTCTGATATGCCTAGAATTTCTACTGAGAATTATTAAAAGAATCAATGATCAAGTCTCAGCAGCACCTCCCCATCCCCACCCATGTGCTCCACTCAGGGAAAGCTCAGGGGGCTTCAGGGAGGTCTGAAGTGCAGCTCAGAACCACAGAATAGGTTAAATGGGTTTCCTGAGCCAGGCTGGGAGCCTAAGCACTGTAGCTTATTGGTTTTATGTGTAAATGCATTTCAAATTTCAAATAGTGCGGATACACATGTGACCCTTCAGAATATACCTGTTAGCAAGTTACAGATGCCTGCTCATGCACCAGTGTCCAGAACCTGAATTTCCCTGACTCATTTCAGAGCAACTCAGGTGAGTTACAGAGTACCATATGGTTTAAAGCCTTTTCTACAGGAGGCCTTCTGGTTTCAGAAGGACTGTGCAGATGCAGGCCTTCTAAGGATCCAATAGCCATCATCCGTCTAACTTAAACTTGGGGCTTTTTGCATTTCTCCCCTTTCCCCTTCTCTCTGTCTCTCTCTCTCTCACAGTATGAAAGGGAGTCCAGTTTATCTAATATTTAAGCAGCAAGCAAGTTTGGAGGAGAAATCAATGGGAGGCTGAGGACAGAGAGCTCCAGAAGCTCCAGTGGCCACAGAGGACAGAAGTGGGATATACCAGTGGCTGGTGGGGCCAGGTCTAGATGCAGGTCACTTGAAAGATGAGGACTGTCTGGTATTTGCAAACGCACATCTTCCCTCCCCTAAGGGCCCTGGGTTCTTGCAGAAATACATATTTACCCATTTTTGAAAGGTTGATGGGTCTTCCTGGAGTTTGAAAAGATGCCTCTGTTGTTCAAAAGGTATGAGTTACGTTGTGAACACATTTGGTTCAAGTTTAGTCTTGAAAGCTTTTCCTCTACAACTTCTCATGTCCTATTAGCTGATAGCACTCCTGAGCATGAATGTTTTTGTGCTGCTGCCCTTTCACTGGTGGAAGTTGGAAAAAATACAGAGTGCTAATCCCACGCACCTGCTTTCAATTCTGCCCACATGGTTTTGGAGTAGGAGGTCTGTTCGCTCCGAATATTTCTACACAGTTTTCAAAACCTGCATTTTTCCATGCTAACACATCTCCGCTTGTCGGCACCTAATTGAACACACACACCCACCCCATGTGTTCACATGCTTACCCTTTACCTTCTCAGAGTCTGAGTGTGTGCTAGGATGACCACTAGATGGCAGTATTTGAAACACTCCCTGCGTGCTCAGGTGAAGGAAGTTTGACAACTACCCAGAGCTGGGGTTCCCAGATATTAATCTGTAGAATTTTTTAAAAAGAAAAAGGGGAACACTACATAGGCTTGTCAAGTTTTTGTTTTTACAGGGAACATGATTAAGATATAAATCAACTTCCACTCTTTCCTGAGAGAAACATTTTAACTATAAAGAAATAGGAAAGATGGAATCTAAACATTGGGGATTTTTCTCTAAACCTAACAAATGTAGCTTTACGGAAAGCTGACCACATTGTCCTTTTGTCTTCATTTTGATGCCAACCAAGGAAAGTGTCATCATGGACAGCATTTGGGAAATAAACCTAGAGGACAATTTGCAATTCCAGGATGGTTTCCTTGAGTGAAATCAAGATCCTTGGGCTGCACTATCTTATCTCCAAATTGACCCTGAGACCTAAGGATTTCCATCGAGAGGCACAAAAGAGAAGCAACAATTGCACTTGATCAAACCAGATTTGATAAAAGTAAGAAGCGTGTATCCAGACGACTACCTAGGAATCCCTTCACATATGCTGGCTGTGTGGCTGAGCTACCTGCCTGATCATCTGGACTCCTTCGGTCTTCCTTTGCTTGTCAGGATCAAAGAGGATCAGTGTCAAGCCTCCCTGGCCTTCGGGATGAGCCCATCTAGGTGAACTTCTGCTGAGACAGGCCTGCAGGATCTTCATGCTGGTCCCAGGTTGCTGTGTGAGGGCGGCACCAACCCAGACCCTCCATCTTGGCATCTTGCTCTTACTCACCAAAGAATTCTGCAATAGAACACGGGGCCCTATCTGCGTGCCCCCTCTTCTGTGGCAGAGGTAGGATGAGACACCATGCACTGTGAAAGGAGGTGCTAAACACAAATATAGTGAGACAAAGTATAGGCTTTCAATCAGAGAGATCTAATTCTAGGGCGTGGACAAATCACCTCACCTGTCTAACCCTCAGCGTCCTGAAGATCAGGAGAATAATAGTGTATACCTCTCAGTCACAGTCTGACTAAATGAGGTGATCTGTGTTAAGTGTGTAATACAGTACTTACTGTGTGCTCAATATGCATTAACAAATATTAATCATGTAATCAATTTCGGTGCAGGGTGCTCCTTTCTAGAGACAGGCAGGCTGCTTCACCCCCCAAAGATGCCTTTCTACGGCATGTGAATACTGCACATACTGTTTTGGAAGAAATTTGCTCCTGGTAAATCTCCACTTCTGAGTCTCTGATTCCCTTTGAACAGTTCTTTCTCCGTAGCAGGTCACATCACTGAGAGTGACTGGGACGTTAAGCAGCCTGAGGATGCAGGAGACCCGGGATGTCTCCTTCTAGGACCCCAGGCAGCTCTGCCTACTCACAGGGATGGCAGCAACTTGGTATTCAGAGTGTGGGGAGTTAAGCTTTTCCCTCATTCACTGTACTTTATTCAGTAGAAAGTCCCGCAGCTGGTATCTCCCCAGCAAAACTATGCAGCCTCTGGTAAGGTTGGAGAGCTCAGAGAAAACTCCAGATAACCAAACACACTGAAACTGATACTGCGACACTGGAGTTGTGGGTTGACTAAGCCCAGCCTGGTTAGGAAACCCCTCGCTTGTCACTGCCACAGTAGTGGATGGAAATTGGTCTCTGGAAGGCTGTGCTTGTATTGCCACCTAGTGGCTAAAAAAAAGCCAGACTCGGTCTGGGGAGGAACCTGGACCCCACAGTCAGACCCACCCAGCTGGGCAGTTACTACCAAGAACTAACATCTTCCTTAAGGAAATTTTGTTCACAGCTTTGCAAGCTAATCCCCTAATTTAATTTAATTTAATTTAATTTAATTTAATCCCATCGTGCCCCTAAAGCACTGCAACACTATGAGATTCAAGGTAGAGCCAAAAGACCAGCCTGGGAGTCTAAAGGCTCATTTGAGTCACTAGCTTATTGTATAGCTTTGGAGAAGTGGCTTAAACTTTCCATTTCCTCTCAGAAACGTGGAAATTAACAATACCCAGGTTTAGTGGCTGTGAGGTTTACACCCCTTTATAAACTGCATGATGTTCTCCCCTGACATCTTGCTCCCCCACTACCTGGATTCTGCCTTTGCAAACCCCGATGCCCATGCCCCACCCTTCAGTAAAACCAACCAGCCAACCTCCTCTTATTCCCCAGGAAGTGGAGACCCCTCTCCCTTGGTAGTGCTAAAACAGAAAATTAAGCAAACAAAAAAAGTGGGAAAGATCCAGTCCAGAATGTGCTCATGGAAAGAGCTCACAATAAAAAGAGTCAAGGTCTACCTCTGCCATTCACAGCCACCCATTTACCGGGATAACACTTCATTTAGAGGACAACATACACTCTGAGGTGGGTTGGCAACAGACAGGACATACTGAGTTTATATGTAGTGGTGGCCCCCTAAGTGGACACCAAGGACTCTGCTTGTCTTCCCCAGCCTGGGGGCCTGGGCCTGGGCATTCATGTGTGACCTGGAAGGGAGGAGGCACTCTCAGAACAACTTTCTGCCTGGCTCAGCCCATTTGATCTCTGAAATCCTCCCAGGATCTGAGATTCTTCAAACCTTTCAGGGCTCCCCTAGGCTCAGTCCCCCTGCCTCTCGTTCTCCATGGGGCTGGCTGTAGCTGTGAGTGAGTCCTGTGTCCCTGGCTGACCTCTAGGGCAGAAATCTCCCAAATTACTTGATTGTCCGCCCCATCTGTAAAATCATTTTCAGCATGCACCTCACTATGAATATTTGTGTGTGTAACTATATTAATATATCATGCATATTGCAGGACATTTGCAAAAAATTGATAATCTAAAGGGGTGGGAAATTAATACATAATGTATCATCACTCCTATGCCCTAGAGTGCATGCAGGTCTGGGTGGATCTGGACCCTTTCTCTGACTGGAAGAGCTGTAGCCCAAGCATAGGGAGTTTATATCTCATGAGCGGCATTAGATAAGAAAAGCTGGACACACAAGACAGATCCTTTCCTGAAGTCCCCACATAAACTGAAGCTTAGGAAGACATTTGCTGGGAAACTTGTCAAGGTATGAGGAGGAAGCACAATTCTCCTCCTAAAATACACGGTCCTCAGGGTGTCTCAGAAGAGCGTGGCCATGCAGGATGGAGAAGCCCAGACACAGGTCACTAGCTTTCTTGTCCTGTCACAGGATCTTCTGAATCTCCTTAGAGGACTCTTGCCATGACTTGCTGAAATACACAATAGCTCTCCAGCATCTACTGGATACAAGAATTAATGGTTCATTTACATACTCTGTATCATTTAACCCCCAAAGCAATCCTGAGAGATCAGTGAGGCCCCATCGCATAAGGAAGCTAAGGCAGGGAGAGGTGAAGTAATGCCCCAAAGACCCCGTATCTCGTCAGAACCAGGGTCTCCCAATTGCTAAATCCCCCAGATTCATCGTACAAATTCAGAATAGTCACCTCTTGATAATAATATTAATATAAAATCAGTTAACATTTATGGATTGCTTAATCTTTGTAAAGGCTTAACTGCTGCATTTGTTCCTCACAAAAGCATTATGAATTGGTTCAACTTTTTAAAAAGGAAACTCAAGCTTCGTGAGGTAATTTGTTCAGAGTTGCCAGTTCTGTGAAGTTGTGAATATGTGATGTCTGACCTCAAAGCTGGAAACTGTAACCATTACTTCCTTCCCTAAGTCAGTCTGGCTCTGCTGACCGGGAGATGGGAATGCCAGACCCAAAAGCAGCATTCAGAGATTGCGGAAGCTTCTCCCACCCCTGAGTACTGCCTGTTCTGGGAAGGGTTTATTGGAAGGGGTTTCTATTAAATAGAATTAGTCTATCTAATTAGAAGGCAGGGCAGAGCCAGGAGTTCCTGTTCAGAGTCCATGTGAATCTCTCAACTTGTTTTCTTGCTATGAAATGGAGAGGCTGGACAAAATATTCCCCAAGATCACCTTTACCTCTGGGGCACCTGGGTGGCTCAGTCGTTAAGTGTCTATCTTCAGCTCAGGTCACAATCTCACGGTTTGTGGGTTCAAGCCCCACTTCAGGCTCTGTGCTGACAGCTCAGAGCCTGGAGCCTGCTTAGGATTCTGTGTCTCACTTTTTCTCTGACCCTGCCCCACTTGCATTCTGTCTCTCAAAAATGAATAGATGTCAAAAAAAAAAAAAAAAGATCGCCTTTACCTCCAATTTCTATGGTTCTAGAAGACAGAAATGGACATTTTTGTGTGGAGAGGGGACATCTGAGAACAAGGATACTCTCGCTGTTTAACATGGAGTCAATTCTGCTCCTTGCCTGGAGGACAGTAACCCCCCAACCATGTTCTCTAACTTCTAAGCACATGCTGTTTGTTCTTTTTAATTTGAGTATCATGTAAACAAAATCAGTCCTTCATTTAATTCCTGAATTTTAGGGAAATATTCTTTTTTTTTTAATTTTTTTTAACGTTTTTATTTATTTTTGAGACAGAGAGAGACAAAGCATGAACGGGGGAGGGACAGAGAGAGAGGGAGACACAGAATCAGAAGCAGGCTCCAGGCTCTGAGCCATCAGCCCAGAGCCCGACGCGGGGCTCGAACTCACGGACCGTGAGATCGTGACCTGAGCTTAAGTTGGACGCTCAACCGACTGAGCCACCCAGGCGCCCTGGGAAATATTCTTTATCTTTGGAGACTCCTTGGTTTCAGAGTATGGGACTTAAGAATATCAAACAATACTCACATGGCCTTGTCCTCTGTGGGTGGTTTTTTCTTCAGCAGCAATGAAACCAGAGTTTTACCCCAGAATGTACCAAGTCCCTGAAAGACAAAATTTGGGAGATATATTGAAATAACAGGTTCAGAAAGCCTTCCTAAGAGTTAATAGTCTGTAAACATCCTTTTAGCTAATTTTTGAAACTTATCAAGTGTTGTATATGCTCACGAGGGAAACGTTTACAAATATAAAAATCTAAGCTGGTTTAGAAACTTCCCGTGATAGCTTGCTGCCTCTAACCTATGGCACAGGACAGTGAATTTGCAGTCATCCCCCAGACCACACCTGCCTGCAGGTCAGGGGCCATATCTCATACATCTTATTTTTCCACAGCCGTGGTTCAGTGCTGTCCCTGTTTGTTGGACTGAATGGATTTTTAGGAAAGAGGAGTTCACAGGTTCGTTTAGTCCTGCTACTGGACAGATTTAATAGAATGTTATTTGCCAGCAGAGCTAAGATATTTTCAGGCACTGTGCTCCTCATAGGCGGGCAGATGTAAGGAGAGCTCACTAACCCCTCACTCACAGGCAGCAGGAAGGAAGAGCAAGATTATTGGGAGCCTCTGCAAGCAGAGGCTAGTTTGGTTCTGGAGGCTACTCCCTGCTCATTTTTTGGTATTTCAGCATGCCCACATCATACCAGAAATAGGCTGTAGGAACTGGCCACCCGTGAACATGTAACTGGGCCCAACCGCCACTGTGGATAGAAGAGTCTTCTTACACCATCGTCCACCTAAAAAAGCAAGATGTGTTGCCTTTAGTCTCTAGGAGCTTGTGGTCTTCCATGTTGCAGGATATAAGGGTCATTATTAGGTGCTACCTACTCTCTCATCTTTCCAACTAATCTCCTCTCATATGAGCTAGAAGTTCCCACCTTTAGATTTTATTTTATATAGAGCTCTAGAGAGGAAAGAGGCTTAAGAGATCATATGCCTGCTTTGTTCAATATAGTAGCCATTGGCCACATGGGCTAGTGGCTACCTTATTTAAAGTATAGAATTAGAAAATTGCCATCATCACAGAAATTTCTATCAGTTCTAGCAGACAAAAAGCACCCATTTTAAAGGCATAGAAGAGATTAGTCATCCAAGGTCCTTGGCAGAACTATGAGTGAAATCCAGTTTTCCATACTTGAAAGCTACTTCTTTCTTCACTACACTAGAAGAGGTGCCATTTAAAATACCCAGGGAGAGGGGTGCCTGGGTGGCTTAGTTCGTTAAGCATCCAACCTCGGCTCAGGTCATGATCTCAC